TAAGCTCCCGTTTGCTGTTGATGCATGGCCCATCAAACCATGGGGATTTTGGCTTCATCCGGTGCCTTTTGACTCTGTTCTTACTTCCTGTTTTCGATTTGGTTTGCAAGTTGGATTTTTTCAGCAAAACCGTGCCCGCTAAGAGACGAGATTACTATTAAGTTGGAGTACGTCGTTTTTATTGTTGCAACGGGTTGCCGATATCTTGGTTATCCTCGTTTGGAATTACGGAGAATTTTGAGCTGCCAGAAAGTTAAAGTGATTCCCTTCGTCTTCGTTGTTTCATTTGTATTTAGTGGGAGCATCTTCAAGAGAATCGAAAAGATCTGACGTATCCATTCTGGAGTTAGTACACTTCAAGTCACAAATGTAGGGTTTGTGATCAGAGTACTTGTTCAGCTCAAGAATTTTAAAAGAAAGTACCGCTTCTTTGAGGTCAGGGGTAGCTGCCATGTAGTCAACTACATTGCATCCATTATAGTTTACAGACGTGAACTCTCCAAAGACATCCCCTAAAGTACATCCATTGAGAATTTAAAGTTTGTTACACGCTAGGAAGTCCAGTAAGAGAGATCCCCTGGCATTGACTATTTGGTCCTTACTGGCTCTTTCAATGGTTCCAGGGTAACTTGCTGTTTAAAATCTTCCGGATCTGAATCGAACTCAAGTTCTTTTAAAGCAACGTTACGGTTCCCTGTACGAGCATTCATGTCTCCAACCAGCAGGATTTCACCCATATTTGGATTCTGTGCTCTGAACTCCATGATTTGCTCTAGTGTGGTCATTTGGACTTGGAGTTTGGTCCACTCCCTTTGGCTTTACGTTTGGCTTTGGTGAATTTGCAGTCGTCTTGCGGAAAAATTGTCACGGCTTGAAAGTCAGGGCAACCTGTTTTTAACCTTTTCACTTTTCCTGAGAGTGAGCGGTGAATTCCGATACAGATTCCTCCTGAGCGATAGTATATCCTTTCTTTTAATATTGAAGCATTCATAGTTTGGTAGGAAAAATTCTCGCTTCGTTTCCTGGAGACAAAATACTGATACTTCTGGTCATAAAATCAAAATAAAATGTGGTAGCTGTAGTGGTACATTAATATACATTAATATATATTAATGTATATTATATAAATATTAATATGTATACTACATATACATATACTATGTATATAGTTTAATATATATAGCTTGTTAAGCAAACATAAATTTTATAATGTTAACTGTTTAGTAGGGAGCATTGCACAGCTCTCGACAGACAAAGTGAACCATGAAGACAAATAACTCGTGAAAACTAAATGAAAATATTTGACGTTTCGTCACTCATTGGCCTTTTACTGAGATTACATATTACAAATTACAAGGGTCTCACCCTTGCTCGGCCTGACGAGATCTAAGAAGACATACAAGCGTCAAGCGTTTTCCCAACCTAATTCTTTGAACGGAAACGTCGGTCACCTTATTATTTTATTACGAATATTGAAGCTCAACTTTAAGATATGTACGTTACGCTAACCGGATACTGCCAATCTGTCAGACGTATTTTATAATATGCTTAACTCATTGTAAATATCACTTTCTAGACAGCGCCTAGTGCCGTCATATAAAGTAGAATTTCGAAAGCTGTGAAGTCTGATAAAATGATAGTCTCGGACCAATATTTTAGTCTGTCTGACCACGATTTGGTGCTGTGCTATAGGTTAGCATGCGCTGTAACGTCTAAATAGCATATTGTCGTCGCCTCGTAATAATAACTCATTTCTATTGCTTCATCTGTATAAATTATAACAACCCTGTGTGACTGATCGAGGTTGGTGGACACTACGTTTTGAAGGTAGATGTTAGACATCAGTCGTTTTCAGGAGTTCCCCACTGATTTAGCTTCTTTGAATTCAGTAAATAAACACTATAAACAGCTCGAACAAAATCCCGACTATAAATTATGAGTTTTAATTGCAATATTTTAATTACGATGATGATCATCAAAGGCCAAAGCTACCAAGAATAATTGATGACTTACATTTAATTAATCGAATCATCCGTTCATCCACATAATATCATAACACTAAACTGACACAGCAGCGAGATGTAGTTAGCTACAATTGACCTGCATGGTCATTAATAATATCGACCACTCTCTTTTAACGTCCAGATTCCTTTATTTATTATCCTTTATCAAGTAGTCTCTTTTAATTTCTTCATATTTCTACATCAAACAGTGCTTTAGTTCGTGCTGACTGTGCAGTGTGCGTGCTCATTATGCATGCTCATTATACTTACACTTGGTCCCTAAATGAAAGGTAATGTTGCTAATGCTTTGTTGCACATGATAAACCCTTGAAGAGCGCGTAGGTACAAGGTAGGTAGCAGGTACAAGGTCTTTGTTCTCCCTGGGGTGGTAGTTGCAGTACCCTTGAAGCTTTTAGCTGCTGTTAAGTAGGCACGAAATGCTTGTCCCTACAAATCATGTACAATGTGTGTAGCGTTCAATGGTCCACTCTATTCTCTAGTGCTGGTCAGAGGGTTAAAGGAGAGAGAGAAAGAGAGAGAGAGGAGGGAGGTCTGAATACACTTTATACACGCTGTATGTAGTTATAAATTCAGTAACCCTGCTTCTCTCCATCTGCTTCTCTCCCTCTCCCCCAAACTCTTCTTCCCTCTAACCTCCCCCGATGCCTGCTCACGGAGCAACACACAATCTCCCGTTATTGTTATCAGCTTTACAACCTACCTTGCTCTTGATATTAGCATATGAAAATTGTAAACCCCGACTAGCCCTTGCCACAGTTTCAGCTACTAGCTCCAGTCCTCCCTGCATTGTTATGATCATCAGGGGGGTCATGACGTGCGGTTAAATTATTCTCGCCTCTAATAATTGATCTCATACGCGGGGTTAGCATTCATTGTAGTTGGGTGTGAATATAATGGTTGTCTGATATAATTATAACGTCTCCTTCTCAATACTTCTCCTCTAGTAAGATTTAGAGGAGACCGATTGTTTTACTCAGTACTCGATTACAAATGTTAAAGTTCTTTTAATTGGTACTTATTTTCTTTCCTCGCAGTCGTAATACTCTATCAGGACCTAATACTCTACTTCGGTTGGCAGAGGGTTAATTTGCAACATATTACTCTTACTCAGTTACTGTTACTGTAGTTATCCTGAGCAGATCCCTGCTCAGTATTCACATTCGTATTGTTATTAACCTCGTCCCACATAATTGTAATGACTCAGCTGCACACAATGATTGAAATAAAATATTAAAATGTATTGTATTATTCGCTGTAATTGAGCGAACAACGCCATTTAATTGATAATTTGTTCTATTATAATCCGATTTAATTTCCATTTTTGTTGTTCGCTCAGAAGTGAATGTAGTGGGTATTTAGACTGGTGATATGAGGTCGGATGGGAGAGGTTGACATGGCCTCAACTTGTGAATACATACAAGTAAAGTCCCATAACGGGTTAGTCTATTTCACACTTGTGTAACAATTTTCATATTTTTTCAAGATTAAAAATGGGCTAATCATTAAGTTGAGAATTCCCAAGAATTTGTAGGCGATGATCCCTCACTCCGATGGGCCGATGATTACCCTCTCCTATGATCCCCACTGCGATCTCCTTGATTTTGTCAGTGTTCACCTCGGAACATGTGTTCTGCACGGCGCACGTGTTCTGCACGGCGCACGTGTTTGGTAAGATAAACCCAAAGCGAAAACAGAATCCGTTCTTTAGGCTACTTCTTCCGTAATTCTTGTACATCCACAATAATGACCTGGTATTTCTTATTTCCTCCATATATGAAATAAAAAATCCCCGATTGACCAAAAATTTACTGTAATTTTAATGTTTCTTTCTAAAAAATAGTTGTGAGGTGTCTTGCACAGTTGCCTGTTGCTGTACTGTTAGACAGTCAAAATTTGGTAAGTATACCGTATGACATTATCATGGTACGGACGGCTTACGGACAAAATTATTTACTTTTCCGATGCGGCAAAATTAAGTTTCTTTTGTAGTAAACTTGAAACATATTATATTGCAGACCCTATTCTAACTTTTCGTTTTTGCTGTCATGATAAATGCGGTTGCCATTCAACTTTAGTTGATAAAAGTTAGTGAATGCTCCAATTTTCCGATATTATATGCTGCCTGGAAATTAAAGATGGCTGCCGCTAAGCACACAGCGGTGGCAGCAGTGGCGGACGAGGACGGAAAGAACACGTGGAAACATAGTTCAAATATTTGGAGAGAAGGCACAGACCGTTGGAAAAAAAGTACTGGCCTTTACTACGAAAGTGCGTTTCCCGTGTGCTTTAAAAAGAACCACAGTAGCCGTTTTATTTGAGCAGTTTAAAGCTTTGTTTCATTTACTGATACACTGAAATAGTCTTGAAATGTCAAAGAAAATCATCGAAACCTCTTTTCAATCTTTGGCCTGGCGGTCTCTTATATGATCTGATTGACAAAAGTGGCTTTCTAGTTGACCTTTTGATTACCCAAAACATTGTCCTAGTTGTGACCAAAGGAGGAGTCCCTGGAAACCAACCTGACTACCCTGTGGTTACCGGGGAAACAGGAACTGTCTCTCAGCTGGACTTACACTATCCTCAGTTATGGTAGTTACTACGACCAATACTCTGTAATGATCGTGAATCGTAAACTCACCATTGTAACGTGTAATACTAATCTGTGGGTGGTTTTAAGTTGTGTTGCGTGGTTAGTGTGCAGCTGCTGTTGTGCAGATGTGAGGAGTACGTTTTCTTGGTTTGTGTAGGGGACCATGGAGTGTTCCTTGACAAAAGTTCGGCTGTTCTCGTCGCACTTTCATTTGTAAGCTTGTGAGGTATTTAGGTGGTATTTACGTGTGTTCTTGTTCTTGTGTGTGGGATTTCACACACCCTGGGGGTGTATATAGGGTGATGAGGGGTTTAAAATGTGCGAAAGACGATAAGTCTAAGTCTCTAAGTCTAGTCTAAGTTATTGACACGTGTTAACAATTTCAGGAGTGTCGACAATTTAGAGGCTGTGAACCAGCAGCAGCAACTTGAACAGCAGCTTTTTGTGCAGGCTGAATACGTTGATAGACGGGTGAGTGACCATCTTTACACCACCCTCATTACAAAAAACCAAGACAATATTGCTGAATAAAATTATTAAAGACCACTCTTTCAACAAAGCGTTAAAAAACTGCTATTCATGGCGAGCCAGATTAAGGTTACAAGTTTCCTTTGTTTGCTATACTTCTGTAAGTGTAGTGTGAGTCTAGTACAGGTCTAGTTTATCGTGTAACTCTACTCTGTTCTGCTCTTTTCTGATAACAATCCACGTGTTTCAGGTCACGGTCAACGTATCGGGGGATAAGTACCAAGTTAACTTGTCCACTCTTAGACAATTTCCTTCCACTCTTTTAGGTGTGCAAACTTTTCAATGATATATGTAACACTATTCTAATGATCTCCACAATTTGGTAAACACATAGTGAACTATGTTCGCAATTACTTGGACCCAATACATCGAATTAATCTAAATCCAAAAATGTATGAAAAACTATTTAATAACAAACAAATCCATGGTAAATAACTGTGGATATAGTGCTAAAATTGGTATTTCAATACGTCAAATGTCAGATACATTAGATATGGTTTTTAATGCGAATGCAGTTAAATGGTGTGTGAGGGAAGTGTGATATGATGTTGGAAGTATACAAAGGTAGATAGAGAAAAAATATATATATATAATATATATAATATATATATGGGGAGCAAAGAGATTAGGCTAGACTGTTCTTTCACTATCCAATAAACATTTCCATAGATGCTCAGTGACCTCAGATTTGAAAAGACTAATAGACAGAATCTGTCTCACCTGTAAAGTAAGTCCATTCCACAGTATATGGGTTCTGTAGAAAATGATTTTGCCAGTGGACTATTTGAGGTACAGATGGTGTGTGAATTCTAACTTAACTTAGGTAAAATTGATGACACAATAGACAGACTGTCGAGGTGACAACGTCTTAGTCGAGAAGTGCCCTGATATAAAGAGAGATAGTGAGGCAGCGATACAGGAATTAAATTGCAGTAATGAATGTTCCTATATTTTGTAGATTCTTAACATATGAACACGAATTGGCCGGAGTTGAGGGTTCGGTAAAAAATACAAATAACGATTTCCTTAGACTTAAGTTTAGGATTATTGTCATGCCTGGTGTCACGTTTAACTAAGGAGATACAATTATGCTAACCTTGAAAGATAACCCAGCTTTTAACTCTTGAATTTAACGCAATCTGAATCAGGCATTAGAGCTATCATTACTGCTTTACAATCCGATGAAATTATAGAAAAACGCCTTTAAATGTTTGACACTAAGTTTATTGCATATAATTTTTAATGTATTTCGTCGCCTTTCCATCAAAAAATCACACTTTTAACGACAGTTTTCACATAAAATCACATTATTTTATTGTTATCCAGGCGGGCCTGGTCTGGAAGAATACTACGATCCGAACGAGGATGACTTTTTCTTCGACAGAAACAGAGATGCTTTCGTTCACATATTCGACTTCTACAGAACTGGACGTCTATACGTTCCTAAGGTAGATGTATGTTGATAAAAGATTTTGGGTATGACAAGTCTGTTAGGTACTGATGATGTCAATGTGAAAATATTTTACCTCTAATTAATATAAAGATTTTTTGAATTCCTTTATATCGGGAAAATTTTATTCACAAGTTTTAAAGTTTTTTGGGGGCTACGGGAGATAAAGATGATCTAATAAGTGTCCAACTATGTAACTTAATTCTATTAACTTTTCAGCACTAACCCAAATTATTTTCACTTGAGGAGTACTCCGAATTCGCGGTTAATACATTCTTGCTCAGGACATACCAGGCGAACTATTCCAAGACGAGTTGGAGTTCTTTGGTCTGGCCTCCACCATGGAGGAGATAAACGCCGCCCCAGAGGAGGAAGCTACCAGACAGGCGAGCTGAGTCTTTAAACTGTGCATTTCAAGCAGATCTGATTTTAGGATATCAGCACAGCCTTTAAAACTGTATAAGTTTACAAGTGCAGTGTACTGGACCCGCTTTATGCTTTTATAACGTTTTCACGACTACTGATGTCACCTGTTATAGTAGCATGATTTTTATCCCACTATAATTAGTATTCTCTACAGATACACGCATCCTTTTTGAGGAGGGTACAAGCCCTGCTCTGGGAGTTCTTTGACAACCCCCAATCCTCTCTAGCAGCACAAGCTTGGGCTTGGATGGACATCGGCTTCATCTTCATCTCTGTTGCCTCTATGTTTGTGGTAAGTGATTTTGAACCTCCTTCTTAACTGTTCGGTGCGCAAGGTAAATGCCTGATTGTACGAATCAAACGGGATTCTGTTTGTACCGTTTTGAGTTAGTCCATTACCAAAAGTTTAATTTTGACGACAAATGTTCTAATTTTCAGGAAACTACACCGCCGATCCCTATTCTATCTGAGACAGATCCAAGAGTGGGGGACACACTAAAGTACTGTGAAACTATCACGGTCCTCTACTTCACTGTGGATCTTATCCTCAGAGGTAAACCACTTGGGAAACTCCTCTGTCACTGTCTGATTTGCGGTGTTGTGCGGTGTTGTGCGGTGTTGTGCGGTGTTGTGCGGTGTTGTGCGGTGTTGTGCGGTGTTGTGCAGCTGCTGTGTTGCTGTGTTGCGGTGTTCTGCGGTATTCTGCGGTGATGTGCAGTATTCTGCGTTGTTGTATAGTGTTGTGTGGTGTTGTGTGGTGTTGTGCGGTGTTGGGTGATGTTGTGCGGTGTTGTGCGGTGTTTTGCGGTGTTGTGTGATGTTGTAAGGTGTTCTGTGGTGTTGTGTGATGTTGTGGTGTTGTGCAGTGTTGTGCGGTGTTATGCGGTGTTGTGCGGTGATGTGCGGTGTTGTGCGGTGTTGTGCGGTGTTGTGCTGTGTTGTGTGATTTTGTGTGATGTTGTGCGGTGTTGTGCGGTGTTGTGCGGTGTTGTGTTATGTGATGTTGTGCTGTGTTGTGCGGGGTTGCAAGGTGTTCTGTGGTGTTGTGTGATGTTGTACGGTGTTGTGTTGTGCGGGGTTGTAAGGTGTTCTGTGGTGTTGTGTTGTGCGGGGTTGTAAGGTGTTCTGTGGTGTTGTGTTGTGCGGTGTTGTGCGGTGTTATGCGGTGTTGTGCGGTGATGTGCGGTGTTGTGCGGTGTTGTGCGGTGTTGTGCGGTGTTGTGCTGTGTTGTGTGATATCATGATGTCAGCTGTGTGTTCAAACTGAGTTATAAAGTGTAATGTTTACATAAAATATATATTTTGGGTACTACATTTTGAATCTGTATTAGTATTACGGCGGAGTTCGAATTTTTCGGGTGCAAAATTATTTATATCTGTTAAAATTATTTATATCTGTTAAAATTATTTATATCTGTCTCTATTTGAGTATTTGTTCAGGCTTGGCCTGCCCTTCATTCCCGGACTACATAAAGTCTCCTCTTACCTGGGTCGACACCTTTGCTGTGTCACCTTTTTACGTCGAACTCTTCTTCCCGGACAACAGTGACCAGTTTGCTGGACTCAGAGTTCTTAGAGTTGCAAGGTATGCATATGTAAACCGTTTTACGCTATTGAATGTTTCAGTTTCGGTTCTGCCAGTTTTGCCACAATTTCATAAATGATGGCTGAAATGATGGCAATCCATTACCATCGTGTCATCCCTCCAGAGTGATGAGAGTTCTTAAGTTGATCAGGCGGAGTAAGAAGCTGATGACGATAGCTACTGTGATGAAGAACTGCGTTTCTGAGCTGTTCTTGCTGATTGTTATCTGGACAATGGGTGTCATAGTGTTTGCTATGTTGATGTACACTTTTGAGGAAAACACTAACTCCAAAATTGAGTCAGGTAATTTTTAGAGCCACATTCGCTGAGGAAACTCTTGTGCCTGTTTAGAAATCGTTTTTCTAACCAAATTAATATATTTTTCAATATTTTATTTGCTATGTTGTGACGTTTAACTGTAAAACAATAGGTCGACTTTTTGTCCCTAATTGTTTACTCATTTGCTATATGAATGCACAATTATTGTTCGTGTTTCAGTTTTTGATGCTATGTGGTGGGCAGTAGTTACCATGTCGACTGTGAGTTATTATCCTTCAATTCTCTGATTCGCTCAAAATCACAATTAAAAACTTTTCCATCGTGAATAACAATGATAAGAATCTTAACAGATTTTTAAATTCCCCATCGTTTAACTTGTTCGATAGTTTAATGATCCAATTCAACAGATATGCTCATTGCTCCTATCTCAGGTTGGTTATGGTGATATTACCCCGCTCACTGTAATGGGAAAACTCATCGGAACTGTTGTCGTCTTCCTGAGCATGGTCTTCCTAGCTCTTCCTCTTACTATTATTGTCAGCACTTTTAGCAAGGTAAGACTATTATTGTCAGCACTTTCAGCAAGGTAAGAGTAGTTTTATTTCCGGTACAAGTTTGCGTTTATTCTGTTCTCTTCGGCTCGACTACGCTTTTCTTTTTGTACAAAGCTGATATTACAGCTTGCAAAAGAGCCGTAACCATAGGTATGACATAACAAGAAACTAGTATAATCATATGGAGTTAAATAATGACATTTGGTACACTAATGCTAAAGCGTGCTAAATCACTTTACACAGATTAGAGGATCTCGAATAGTCATTCAGGGCCACCCATAGAGAACGTGTTAAAAATTGCCTGTCTTACAGGTGTACGGTAACCGAAGTGTATGGTGATGAAGAAACACAAGAAGGACATCATGTACGTGGCCGGGGCGGACGAGGACGACGCAGAGGACGATACCATTACATGAACCCAGAGACTGTAGCTTTTAGTCCCAACAGTTCTGTCAGACGACCTCTGCAGGTCTTCGTGTCAGATTATAACGTGTTCCTCTTTCTCTCTTGCGATATTTGATGTGATAAGACAGAGCTTGATGATGTGCAGTGACTTCTGTATTTTAAGATCAATAAATTTTGTTGAGAGTGACGAGCAAAGTTCTGTTATGTTTACTACTAGTACTATAACTAGCGGTTAGTTTTGATCAAATGACTTTTGGTAATTGATTATCGAGAGTGGTTAAATAAATACCAATATGATGATTGATACTGGTAATAATAATGATTGTAATTTTAATTTATTATTCATATTGTCATCTGCGTTATAATGAGAGAGAGACACCCAAACCCCATGGTAACGCAGTTTTTGTTAACTTTTTCTCTATCAGCTTCCGTATCTATCACATTCTTTCGTTAGTTTGAAATCAATTTCCGCATCGTATTAACATCATGGAAACTTAACTTAACAATTGCATTTGATTTTGGCATATGCTTAAACTACTGTATACTACTTTATATACTATAATTTATAGTTATTTTCCCAAATAAAAGTTTTCTAGATATAAGTAATAAGTAATAAGTATGTCTAGTCCTCTGATCTCAAGTTATAGTTAAGTTTAAGTAATGCAAATGATGTCTATACGGCAAGATTATAAATACTATTAGATGGCAGATTATGTACCAGCTGGATTAACTATGTTGCAACTTGAATTGATAATTAATCATGATGGAATTCTATTAATTATCTGTTTCCAAGTTAGACTCGTTAAATTCATTTTTCATATTTTGTAAACTTAGTTAAAATACGTACAAAACTTTCGAAACTCCAGAGTTCAAACATCAGACTGCCATTTCATTAACCTTTGCAAAAAGTAGAGCTAATATTTCATATTTGAGACTTAATTAAACAAAGAAGCTGGATTAGTGGGTGAAAGATACCGGCACAATATTTATTTGAGATACAGCATCGTCAATGAAGTACTGGATGTCAAAATCGCCTACAAAATGGACAAATCATATTTTCCCAATTTCCAATCTCTGTCCCATTTTCAGTTTTTGAAGATGAAATTTCCAGGACCGAAAATTCACAGTTTTGACCCAATTCTTCTCCGGAAACCAAATAATCAGTCAACTGAAGATGCCATATGACACAATTGAGGTGCTGCAAGTTGATTCAACTCGGGAACGTTCACTACTGAAAGCTTTACAAAAAGATAATATTTCCAATTTCTGTCCCATTTTCAAATATGAAATTTTCTGAACACAAATTTGACAGATTGGATGAACTTTTTGCCCAGAAACCAATTAGTCAGTTAATTGATGATGGTATGAAACCAAATTGAGGTACAAGTAGTCAAAATCCCGAATAAAATTGCAAAATCATATTGTCCCAATCTCTGTCCCATTTTCAGTTTTTGAAGATGAAATTTCCAGGACCGAAATTTTACAGTTTTGACTGATTTTTCACCCACAACCAATTATTAAGTCAACTATAGATGCCACATCACACGATTGATGTGCTGGAAGTTTAATTTCGGTCGGAGGAAGCCAACAGCAGAAATTAACAAAACGAAAAGTTGTATTTTCAAAATCCTGTCACGTTTTCAAATATGAAATTGTCTGAACACAAATTTGACAGATTGGATGAACTTTTTACCCAGAAACAAATTAATCAGTTAATTGATGATGGTATGAAACCAAATTGAGGTACTGGTAGTCAAAATCCCGAATAAAATTGCAAAATCATATTCAATATTGTCCCAATCTCTGTCCCATTTTCAGTTTTTGAAGATGAAATTTCCAGGACCGAAATTTTACAGTTTTGACTGATTTTTTTCACCCGCAACCAATTAGTAAGTCAACTATAGATGCCACATCACACGATTGATGTGCTGGAAGTTTAATTTCGGTCGGAGGAAGCCAACAGCAGAACGTTTAACAAAACAAAAAGATGTATTAATTTCAAAATCCTGTCCCGTTTTCAAATATGAGATTGTCTGAACAAAAATTTGATAGATTGGATGAACTTTTTGCCCAGAAACCAATTAGTCAGTTAATTGATGATGGTATGAAACCAAATTGAGATACTGGTAGTCAAAATCCCGAATAAAATTGCAAAATCGTATTGTCCCAATTTCAGTTTTTGAAAATGAAATTTCCAGGACCGAAATTTTACAGTTTTAAATAATTTTTCACCCGCAACCAATTAGTAACTGTAAGTCAACTATAGATGCCACATCACACAATTGAGGTGCTGGAAGTTTAATTTCGGCCGGAGGAAGCCAACAGCAGAAAGATTAACAAAACGAAAATTTGTATTTTCAAAATCCTGTCCCGTTTTCAAATATGAAATTGTCTGAACACAAATTTGACAGATTGGATGAACTTTTTGCCCAGAAACAAATTAATCAGTTAATTGATGATGGTATGAAACCAAATTGAGGTACTGGTAGTCAAAATCCCGAATAAAATTGCAAAATCATATTGTCCCAATCTCTGTCCCATTTTCAGTTTTTGAAGATGAAATTTCCAGGACCGAAATTTTACAGTTTTGACTGATTTTTCACCCGCAACCAATTATTAAGTCAACTATAGATGCCACATCACACGATTGATGTGCTGGAAGTTTAATTTCGGTCGGAGGAAGCCAACAGCAGAACGTTTAACAAAACAAAAGATGTATTAATTTCAAAATCCTGTCCCGTTTTCAAATATGAAATTGTCTGAACACAAATTTAACAGATTGGATGAACTTTTTGCCCAGAAACCAATTAGTCAGTTAATTGATGATGGTATGAAACCAAATTGAGGTACTGGTAGTCAAAATCCCGAATAAAATTGCTAAATCATATTGTCCCAATCTCTGTCCCTTTTTCGGTTTTTTGAAGATAAAATTTCCAGGACCGAAATTTTACAGTTTTTACTGATTTTTTCACCCGCAACCAATTATTAAGTCAACTATACTTATAGATGCCACATCACACGATTGATGTGCTGGAAGTTTAATTTCGGTCGGAGGAAGCCAACAGCAGAACGTTTAACAAAACAAAAAGATGTATTAATTTCAAAATCCTGTCCCATTTTCAAATATGACATTTTCTGAACACAAATTAGACAGATTGGATGAACTTTTTGCCCAGAAACCAATTAGTCAGTTAATTGATGATGGTATGAAACCAAATTGATGTACAGGGAGTCAAAATCCCGAATAAAATTGCTAAATCATATTGTCCCAATCTCTGTCCCTTTTTCGGTTTTTTGAAGATAAAATTTCCAGGACCGAAATTTTACAGTTTTTACTGATTTTTTCACCCGAAATCAATTAGCAAGTCAACTATAGATGCCACATCATACGATTGAGGTGCTGGAAGTTTAATTTCGGTCGGAGGAATCCAACAGCAGAAAGCTTAACAAAACGAAAAGTTGTATTTTCAAAATCCTGTCCCATTTTCAAATATGACATTTTCTGAACACAAATTAGACAGATTGGATGAAATTTTTGCCCAGAAACCAATTAGTCAGTTAATTGATGATGGTATGAAACCCAATTGAGGTACTGGGAGTCAAAATCCCGAATAAAATTGCAAAATCATATTGTCCCAATCTCTGTCCCATTTTCAGTTTTTGAAGATAAAATTTCCAGGACCGAAATTTTACAGTTTTTACTGATTTTTTCACCTGAAACCAATTAGTAAGTCAACTATAGATGCCACATCACACGATTGATGTGCTGGAAGTTTAATTTCGGTCGGAGGAAGCCAACAGCAGAACGTTTAACAAAACAAAAAGATGTATTAATTTCAAAATCCTGTCCCGTTTTCAAATATGACATTTTCTGAACACAAATTAGACAGATTGGATGAACTTTTTGCCCAGAAACCAATTAGTCAGTTAATTGATGATGGTATGAAACCAAATTGAGGTACTGGGAGTCAAAATCCCGAATAAAATTGCTAAATCATATTGTCCCAATCTCTGTCCAATTTTCAGTTTTTGAAGATAAAATTTCCAGGACCGAAATTTTACAGTTTTTACTGATTTTTTCACCCGAAATCAATTAGCAAGTCAACTATAGATGCCACATCATACGATTGAGGTGCTGGAAGTATAATTTCGGTCGGAGGAATCCAACAGCAGAAAGCTTAACAAAACGAAAAGTTGTATTTTCAAAATCCTGTCCCATTTTCAAATATGACATTTTCTGAACACAAATTAGACAGATTGGATGAAATTTTTGCCCAGAAACCAATTAGTCAGTTAATTGATGATGGTATGAAACCCAATTGAGGTACTGGGAGTCAAAATCCCGAATAAAATTGCAAAATCATATTGTCCCAATCTCTGTCCCATTTTCAGTTTTTGAAGATAAAATTTCCAGGACCGAAATTTTACAGTTTTTACTGATTTTTTCACCTGAAACCAATTAGTAAGTCAACTATAGATGCCACATCACACGATTGATGTGCTGGAAGTTTAATTTCGGTCGGAGGAAGCCAACAGCAGAACGTTTAACAAAACAAAAAGATGTATTAATTTCAAAATCCTGTCCCGTTTTCAAATATGACATTTTCTGAACACAAATTAGACAGATTGGATGAACTGTTTGCCCAGAAACCAATTAGTCAGTTAATTGATGATGGTATGAAACCAAATTGAGGTACTGGGAGTCAAAATCCCGAATAAAATTGCAAAATCATATTGTCCCAATCTCTGTCCCATTTTCAGTTTTTGAAGATGAAATTTCCAGGACCGAAATTTTACAGTTTTGACTGATTTTTTTCACCTGCAACCAAATAGTAAGTCAACTATAGATGCCACATCACACGATTGATGTGCTGGAAGTTTAATTTCGGTCGGAGGAAGCCAACAGCAGAACGTTTAACAAAACAAAAAGATGTATTAATTTCAAAATCCTGTCCCGTTTTCAAATATGACATTTTCTGAACACAAATTTGACAGATTGGATGAACTGTTTGCCCAGAAACCAAATAGTCAGTTAATTGATGATGGTATGAAACCAAATTGAGGTACTGGGAGTCAAAATCCCGAATAAAATTGCAAAGTCATATTGTCCTAATCTCTGTCCCATTTTCAGTTTTTGAAGATGAAATTTCCAGGACCGAAATTTTACAGTTTTGACTGAATTTTTCACCCGCAACCAATTAGTAAGTCAACTATAGATGCCACATCACACGATTGATGTGCTGGAAGTTTAATTTCGGTCGGAGGAAGCCAACAGCAGAACGTTTAACAAAACAAAAAGATGTATTAATTTCAAAATCCTGTCCCGTTTTCAAATATGACATTTTCTGAACACAAATTAGACAGATTGGATGAACTGTTTGCCCAGAAACCAATTAGTCAGTTAATTGATGATGGTATGAAACCAAATTGAGGTACTGGGAGTCAAAATCCCGAATAAAATTGCAAAATCATATTGTCCCAATCTCTGTCCCATTTTCAGTTTTTGAAGATGAAATTTCCAGGACCGAAATTTTACAGTTTTGACTGATTTTTTCACCTGCAACCAAATAGTAAGTCAACTATAGATGCCACATCACACGATTGATGTGCTGGAAGTTTAATTTCGGTCGGAGGAAGCCAACAGCAGAACGTTTAACAAAACAAAAAGATGTATTAATTTCAAAATCCTGTCCCGTTTTCAAATATGACATTTTCTGAACACAAATTTGACAGATTGGATGAACTGTTTGCCCAGAAACCAAATAGTCAGTTAATTGA